ACGACGGATCCATCACCAAGAATAGCAGCAAAAGCGCGGTGCGAGGCTTGAATTTGCTGCACATTCGTCAGCTGATCCCGTACAGCACTACTGTCACCGCCCCAGAGAGGATGGCCCCAGGTCACGACAGCTGCGTCGCCAAGAATGGCAGCAAAAGCGCCGCCGTCAGGGTCTCTAGAGCCTTGAAGTTGGGTCTGATTTATGTGCAACTTGAGCGAGTCGCCAGTCTGAACTCTGGCTTTCTTGATTGGCAGACGCGGATCTAGAACATTTCCGGATGAGTCCAGAAGCCGCCCTTCCCCGACTCCGAAAACGGTCTGTGCTCGGCGTGTTAAGACCTTTACCTCATCATCTAAGCCGGCTTGCACGGTAGCCGTTCTGCCGCTGAGTAGTCCGACTTCCACGGTAACCGACATTTTGAAAGCAGGTGCTGTTTCCAAGGCAATGTCCACTTGCACTATGACTTCCTTCAAGACCCAATCTTGCGTCAAGTACGATAGAAGCCTGAATACTTGGAAAAGCGCTTTGTGGCAATCTTTGTTACAGTTACCCTAACCCCCCAGGTACCTACCATATAGGGCCCTAGGGGCTCTAGTACCCTATATAGTAGGTACCTGGGGGGTTACAGTTATCTATGGTTTATTGCCTTCATCTTTGCAGCTGAGGCGAAAAGAAGCGACTTTCAGCTAACAGAGCCCCAAACCCTGTAACTTCTCCCAAATCTATACTCGGGTGTATACCATGACCCTACAGTTACAAACAGTAGGATATGGTAGCTTCAAGCAAGGCTATGGTTAGGGTTTGGTGATTGCAGTTGTCGGTTGAGTATTGGGCTTTTAGGGCTTACTATAGAGTCGCATAGGGTTTACCACGCTTCCTGTTTATGTAACTCACGCAGGGGCCTTGATAATTAAAACAAGGGGTTTGGGCTGCATTTTAAGTGTTTTGTGCAATAATGACATTCAGCAACCCTGACGTACTAGCAGTTATTTGAGCTTCTACAGTGTTCTGGTGCAAAGGTATCTTATCTACTGCTTAGGCACATGGACGCTTAGGGATAGTCGGGGCACTTGACTGTACCATGGGCTACAGGGTTGCACACTACAGTAGACTAGGTGTTCTAAAGCGTAAGCCAGTACTTGCATATGCGTGTACGTATTTAGGGGCAATAGCAGTGTACATTTAAGACGCCCTAGGCTAAGGGCCCTATTTCACACGAGGCCTGAAACTAACAACAGCAACGCCAATCAGAAACAAACACGAGCAGCCCTAAACCCTAAACCCTGCACCTCTCCAAGCACATAGGTGTCGCCACGCCCACAGCGGGTAAGGTCGCCTTCGCCAGTAGACAGGGCCTGGTGCTTCGTTGTGCGGCTTAGGGTTTAAGGGGATGCGCATCCGATGTGGGGGCTTAAATAATTATCAATACTACATGGAGGTTCATTTTTTGATTATAGTATAATGATGGGCCCCAACACCCTATTCTAATTATTAAGGCAGTAACAGTAGCGTTATAAGTACCTTAACTGGGGTCATCATCAACTATAAGTACAGTTAGCTCGTTTATAACCCTGGTTACTAAGTCCCATGAACCTGTAAGTAGGGTACAGGGTTTAGGGGTTAAAGTTCGGGTTCAGGGGTGGCTTTATTGAGGCTTTCGTCTTGAAACTTGCGCTTTCGAGCAGGCCTCCTGCTTTTTATCTTCAGGGTCCAATCCTTGCAGGAGACGTCCGCGTAAACCCTAAACCCTGAACCCTAAACCATATCCCAGGTACCGAAAGCAAAGCCTTATACAGTTGTAAACCTCTACGCAGGTCTTAAGCCCAAGACTTTAAAGCGTAAAGACAAGTGCTACCGGCGATCCCTGCACGCCTACACGCTGCTGTTGTCTTAGGTCAACCTACTTACTAGTGCTGCCTTTGTGGAGGTTCTTGACATAGCGCTGCTGTATAGAATTCATGGTGATACTTTAGCCATGCGCTGCACCAAAAAAAGCCAAAGCCTAAACCCTAAATGCCAAGCCCCAACACAAACTTGAGCACATATGGGTCGAGTTGTTCAGCGTTTGGACTTATCGGGTCGTGGGGGGAGGGGGGGGGCTTTACAAGAAATCCCCTACAATCTGTACCCCAAAACCGAACTCTAATTACTAAGGCTCCCATAGTGGGCCTAACGCTGTGCAAGGGCCATAAACCCGGTCGTCTCTCAAGCCTGCAACCCTAAATCCCCAAACCCTGCTTTTCTTAGGGACTGAGTACCCTAGCCCAAAAAAGGTTAACCTTTTGAATTATAGTAGGATTATAAGAGCCCCAAAAGGTTAAAGGTTACCTACTAAGCCCCCTAAGTTTTGTGTAACACCCAAACTCTAAACCGTAGGCCCTGAACTCCTAAATCCTAAACCCCAGGCCCTGAACCATAAACTTAAACCCCTTGAGCCCTAAACCCCCAAAGCCCCAAGCCCTCAAGCTGCGGCTAAACATCCCAGCTAAGTTAACTCCACAAAGGGGACCCGCAGTTAGGCTGTAGGTGAGGGTTTAGGGTTTAGGGTTTTCTAAGTGTACCTGGAGATCCGTTAGAGCACCCCTGTAAACACACTTGTAGATCCTTCACGGTATCCTTCTAGATCTCTTACAGTCTTACACCATATTATAGCGTTGCAATTCTCTTAGACAGCGCTTCAGCATAGGGCTATAAGACTAATATAGAACCCCGAAGCATGGTGTTATGATCATCCCCTTATACAAATCCCCTAAGCTCTAAGCCCTAAACCCTCTAATGGATCCCCGTAGCTCTACGCCCTAAACCCTAAACCCTAAACCTAAACCCTCTCTCTCTCTCACAGAGGTACTCGAAGCGTCAGACCTGTTCGCAGCAGGACGTGGTACATCCTAGACCCTCAAACGTAATACTCTTATAGATCCCCTTAGCTCTGAACCCTAAACTCTAAGCCCTCTTATAGAGCCCCTAGGCTCTAAACCCTAAACCCTAAGACTCTCATAGATCCCCTTAGCTCTGAACCCTAAACTCTAAGCCCTCTTATAGAGCCCCTAGGCTCTAAAGCCTAAACCCTAATACTCTCATAGATCCCCTAGGCTCTAAGCTCCAAAGCCTCTTATAGATCCGCTTAGCTCTGAACCTTTAATCCGGGTAATCCTCAACCAAGCTGTCGGTTCGGCGCTTGCTTCCAACTCATAGAGATCTATGAGCCCCAGATTACACCAAGCATTTAGGGCTTATAGGGTTTAGGGGTTCAGGGGTTTAGGGTTTAGGGTTAAAGGTTTAGGGCCCAATTTGCAGCAGCCCCACATGCTTTTTGAGCTCCTCATGGCCGAGGTATCTTTACATAAATCCTGAAAAATGTCGGAGAGACGATGGTTTCTTTTATGTTTCTTTTCATAGGACTACTTAAAAATGGCAGATTTGGGGGCTGCTAAAGGTCTGGACTGGGGCTGAGGGTTTAGGGTTTAGGGTTTAGGGTTTAGAAGCTTCTGGTCCTCAATAACGAGCTTACTGGGGCTAGGGTTTTTTTAGCACTCACACACGACAAAGCAGGCGAGGCTTCAGTCCAACTGAGTCACTCCACAGCCCTAGCACATTGGGGCTAGGGTTTAGAGTTTAAGAGGTTTTAGGATTTGGGGGTTTAGAGTTTAGGATTTTATGGGTTTCGGGGCTAGGGTTTAAGTTTTGGGGGTTAAGGGTTGTAGGCTTGTAATTAAAACAGCTGAGTAAAGCTTCAATGGATGTCATGCTTCTCTTGATCTGGTACCCTAAACCCTAAACCCTAAACCCTAAATGGTGTCTTGGCATTTGAGCTTCGGGCTGGTACGGTCGCTGCTTCGGGTCTTGGGTTTAAGATGGTTTAGGCATTATTTGAGGTTAAGGGTCTACGGCTTCCGTTTAAGGGCTGTTTAGGAATAAGCAGGATTTCGCCGGTGACTTTTGCTTCTTCCAAGCATGGTCCTTGCAATCCTGAAAAACTGACTAGGAGCCATATACTCCTAGGAGTGTCACTAAAGACGTAATGATCACAATGGCCATAATGGCAATGGTGAGCACTGGCCGTCAGTATAATATCCACTAAACCCTAAACCCTAAACCCTAAACCGCTTTCATGCTCGCGGCTCGCCAGCTCAGAACTTCACCAGGGCCTTCCAATCCGCCAGAAGCTGCTTGGCAGCCTCCCATATGGGTAGTTCTCTAAATTAGGGTTCCTTTTAGGGCCCTTTTTAGAAGGGTGCCGTACTATATTGGGGACCTAAAAAGGGACCCTATTTTCGAGAACTATCCCTTTGCAACCGGCTTTGCGTAATTATGTTGGTTTAGGGTTTAGGGTTTAGGAGTTCGTCATCTTTCTGCTCCTTGGATCGTGCTTTTTAGGGTTTAGGAGTATGCTTCCATTCGGATGGCATGGACAAAACACCACGCATCAGGGGGGCGTGAAGGTGAGAGGGGATGTTAAACAAAAAGCGCCGCTCTCATCCTTGTCGTGACATCCGCAGCACAACCAGCGATATGCATCTTCTGGCCTAGTGGACGTCTTAACAACGCGGAGTGTTAAATAAATGACGACCCTGGTAACCCCACACATAGTCGGATCCGCATAATGAGAATAAGGACTGCCTAACACCCCTAAGCCAATATGGCTTTAAGAGGTATATTATATCAGGGCACTACAGCGGATACAATGACATTAGCAGGTAGTGCGACCTCTAAGACTCTACAGCAGTACCCTAAACCCTAAACCCTAAACCTCTTTAAAGCAACTCAGTGCCTCGAAATCCTGGCTGGCACGTCCCCACTCCTTGTTGCGGCCGTCCACGCCCACAGTGGAGATCTTCTGGGAGAACTCCCTGGCCTGGTTTTGGGTTGGAGATCTCTGCTTTAGCGTTTAAGGCTTAGGGCTTTGGGTTTAAGGGTTTCAGGGTTTCCTAAACCCTAAACCCTAAGCCCTAAACCCTATACCCTAAACCCTAGGTTCTAATGTTCAAGGCTTCATCAGGGTCTCCGAGTCCCAGGCCTTGGTGTAGGCCTCCGAGCCCTCGGCGCCGGAGAAGTAGACCATGTCCTGCTTTAGGCTTTAGGGTTTAGGGTTTAGGGTTTAGTAAGCCTTTGGGGTTTGGGGTTTAGGGTTTAGGGTTCTACCCATAGGCCCCATAGTAGTTCCTTTTGGGGTTACCTTATTGGATTCTATATATGAACCCAAAAAAGGAACTACTTTAGGGCCTATGTGGGTAACCCCAGCCCTAAACCCTAAACCCCCAAAACTAGGTCAAATCATGGCCCAACACCCATCAACGGCTATTCTTCTCTTTAGACCTTACGAACCCTGAGCCCTACTAGCACGACAAAACATGAGCCAGTAGGGTTTAGGGTTAAGGAGTCAAACCCTAAACCCTAAACCCTAGACCCTAAACCCAAAACAGTTTAGGGGTTAGGGTTTAAGGGTTAAGGTTTGAAGCCTCTAAACATTGAATCCCGAAGCCTGAACACAACTAAACCCCCTTAGACTTTCGAATATAGGGGGCCTTAACATTTTCGAATAGGGTTTTGGCAGTATATCATACTATAACTACAGTAAGGAACCCCCCAAAATAGGATAGGTAATTATCAAGGCTGCTGCTTGAAGCCCGAGGAAACCGCCTTAAACCTTAAAATCGAGCATCAAAACCTATTCCTGTAAGCCCTCTGAGCTAAACTGCCAGCCAAAAGTCTCTCCCTTAGTTTTGTCAATTACCTTAGGGTTGAGGGTTTAGGGCCATGCCCAAAACATTTCAAACTTTCTACGACAGCCACTTATATAGGGCCAAAAAGTTTTAAAGCCCCCCCTCCCCCCCCCCATTGCGTCAATGTCGGGGCCTGAATAAGTGCCAATAAATACTATCTTGGGGGGGGGGGGGGGTCCTTATTATAATTATAGTATACTGGGCCCCAAAACCCTATTCTAACTATTAAGGCCCCTATACCAGACCCATGTCCTGCTTGAAGCCAGCGGCCTCCTGAAGGTTCGAGGTCAGCTGCTGGGACTGCTTGGTCCTTGGTGCTCTTTGAGCGAGCCCTGAAAGGTTTACTGTTTAGGGTTTCGAATTTAGGGTCTTACGGCTGTTGATATACATCCTACATTACCCATAGTGGGAAACATACCATAGTTCCCGTAGTTTAGGATCATTAAGGTAATGCGGGAATTATATCATGAACAGTATGGTTAGTATGACAGAGCCTCAACTGCTGAAGCCCTAAAGCCCCGATGTGTTTGTTACCCTAACGCCTTACAGATGCACACGAAGTTTCCGCAAAACCCGGCAGAATCCATAAACCACCCCGAAGGCGAGACCCAAAGCAGAAACCTCTACGCTCTACGGAAGCAACCCTATAGAGCCCTGAGCCCGAATCCCTACCTATAGTCTCCATTGTAGTTCCTTGTTTTGGTCCACCATTTTTCCTGCTATAGGATCCTAACCTCAAAACTAGCTAACCCCACAAAGAAACTACAATGGAGACTATACTGTAAGGGCCTAAATAAATACCTAAACCCTATTCTAATTAATTATTACGGCGCCTATAGCAAGCAAACCCCAAAAGCCCTAAACCCTAAACCCCAAAGCCCCAACCCAACCAAGGCATGGTCTTGATGTAGAAGGCGGTCTTGTCGAACCGCTCAAACGCCGCCGTGAGGGCTTTCTTTCGCCGGGCCACCTGAGGGTTTCGGGTTTAGGGTTCTCTTAAGTAGGGTAGGGCGGGGGGTTAAGCCCCATAGCATCCCGTGTGCTAGCCCATGTAGAAACCTTACGGGAACCCTAGTAGTATAACTTTAAGCCCTAAGACCTATTCAAACTAGCAACCAGCTTGGGGAATCCTAAACCCTAAACCCTACAAGTCCCAAATTTCAAGAGCTGCCCACCTCCTGCTCCGTGCGGGCCTTGTACACGGAATCTGAGCCGACCTCGGAGAACCTGCGAGTACTGCTTATCCCTAAGGGTCCATGTGCCCAAATAATATAGACTTTAGCCCCAAGGTACCTATATAGGGACTACTTGGTAATGTACCCTACACCCTAAAGCCTAAAACCTGAACCCTTAACCCCAGATTTAGGGACTAGTTTAAGGGGAAAGTAGATACTATTTGGGTACATGGACCCTTAGGATATCGTCTTAGAAAGTGTTTTAAAGCCTTTTTCAAGCAAGCTCTCAGGCTCTACAGGGTCTTTCCTTGTTTATATGTCCTTACCATATATATATATATATATATGTATATATTTATTCAATTTCATATTAACGGTTCTTTTGAGACTTTCTCAGGCTCTACATGGATTTTTATGTGGCTTTGTGAACTTTAGAGGGGCTTGATAAAAAAGGCTTTAGGCGGGATACGCTTTAGAAGAGCTTGACAGGGGCTTTAAGTTTGTCATGGTCTTCAGAATGTTTTTATGACGGACTTGAAGGAAGTAATGGAGGGGCCTGGATACTTGCAGAAGGGTTTGGGTGGTTTGGGGTTTGGGGGTTTAGGGTTTAGGGGGATGCTAAAATTGCAACGGAGAGCATTCAGGAATGCACACTGAACCCTATACACTGAATCCTAAGCCCTTACCTGTAAACTTCGGCTACCAATGACCCAGACCCCTATATTCAGGACTTGGGGGGGGGGGGGGGG